ATGACTATTTGTGAATCACAAAGGGAAGGAGCATCCATTTTCCTGCTGACTTGCCCCAGAATCCTCTGGATGGAACATAACGCCCCCATTTATATCCACGGGGGGAAAAACGTTAAGATCCCCAGTAGAAAGAAGGGCAAAGAATATCTTTAAACAAGTCCCACAAATGAAGTCAGAATTCTTGAAAAGCACAGGGAAGACATTCAAGCTTAATCATAACCAAATAAAGTCAACTTTCAATAGCGAGTGTCTGTTCCCACCAATTGAACGAGCCAAAAGTGCTTAAAACGACAGCACCGAGGGCTGGGGAGGCGGCAGTGAGACAGGAACATTCATCCGACAAACACCAGCTGAGCCGCCCGCTGGACCAGCTCAGGCCGGTCCCTGGGACCCGCGGTCAGACCGGAGCCCGCGAAGAACTCTTCAGGCCGTTGGACGCCCTGGGGACACGGTCCCTGGGTGTGAGGCTCAAAAGCATAACACCACCCCGGCCGGCGCAGCTCCGCGGTTCAGCATCGGCCCGGGAACCAGGAGGTCGCGGTTCGATTCCCGGTCAGGGCACAGGCCCGGGGTGCGGGCTCGATCCCCAGTCGGGGGCGTGCGGGAGGCAGCCGATCAATGACTCTCATCACTGGTGTTTCTCTCTCCCCCTCTCCCTTCCTCTCTCTCTAACATCAATAAAAACATATTTTAAAAAAAACACAACACTCCAGAAGGAAACTGTATGCAGTGACCAACGGTGCCGACATTCAGGCTGGGGAATGGAAGGGACACGGCCACAAACAAGAGGGGGCAGCCCGGCAGGCCCCAAACTGGGAACAGAAAAAGAGGCCAAAGAGAGGGCGCGGCCCCTTCCACGCAGCCCCACAGGCCCCTCGAAGCGCAGTCAGAAGGAGCTCGGAGGGGAACAGGGAGACGATCTTAGTTTGTTCTAAATCTTGGTAAGAAATCATAGATTTTTCCATTCAGACCCCTGGGGTCCAAGAAAGTCCGTGGCTACCCAAGCCCACCAGCAGAGAGGGCTCTCTTCCAGGCCTCCCTTCCGCCCGGGTCTGATGGGTTAATTAATTGTCCCAAAGAATGAAATAACTCACCCACTGACCAGCGGTTCCCGTTGTGCTGGTATTAATGAGCTCAGCCCTATATTCTTTCAGCCGCACACCCCTCGGCTTGGCCCTCACGTATCCGCGGATCCACGCGATCCCTCCCGCAGTCACACCCATCCACCCGGCCGCCCCCCGGCC